TAGTGAAACTCGATATTAGCATCTCTTAACGACGTTTATTTTTTATTTTAATCGCCACTCGTAAAAGTCTATTTACCGGAAACTCTATGCGGATGACTTGAGTTTCTGTTAAAAGAGCGATAAATTAACAAACATCGACATATAGTTTATAATGTACATTCAACCAAAGTAGAGACATTCGATAATTATGACGATTATAATCATACCGGAAGAATTAATTAAAATCGGACGAGCGAGAGTGTAAGGTTACCACGCGAGAAGATTCGTTTTACATAGATGAAATTTTGAGAGATTTAAAAGAACACACGAGATTATTATATTTTTTGCCTTATCCTTTAATTATCCTTTAATTAATGTACCCTATTTAATTAATCCTATTAACATTTACATCATATTTATAATGTAATTAATTTGATCTATAATATATAGTACAAAAAGAATCATTGACCGGAATAAAAAAAAACCAAATTATTAATTAATGATAATTAATAATTTTAACTAATAAAAGAAATTAAAATTTAAAAAATCAAGCATGTTATATTTCGTGTTTAATTTTATGATTTTCGATGATGGTGGGTCCAGGTTAATAGCACACAGCACTTACAAAGCGTTAACAAAGCGCTAAAAAAAGCGCACTAATAACTTTTTTAGCGCTTTGCAAACGCTGCTATTTGGGAAGGATTTAATTAAACATTTTGTGAAAATGTTATGACGCGCATGGGAGGTATAATTGTGAATCACTTCTGCCATGTACTTCGTACTATTTTTTCCTAAATGATTATGAAACCTCACTGATAAAGAAGTTGGTGATGACTCCAATCCCATTATCAGTTAATGATATCAGCAGCGCTATCGATTCTCAATGTGAACGATATAAGGCTTTAGCAGACTCAGGTAACGTTTTTCAACTGATAATAACACCGTGAGATTTCAACTTGGAAGTTCGCATGATATCGAAATTTTACTAGAAACACAATCTACGAAGTTTTTCGAGAATGCAATTTATCATTAAGACAATCTTTTTCTCTCACATGCCCGTAGTAACAGTTGCACACTGCGATGAATCATAGGCCTGTTCTTTTTGACTGAACTTATGTTACTAGTACATCTTTCTTCTTTTTCTCTCCAGGAGGAAACAAGAGAAAGAAAGATGAACTGCAAAAGTTCAGCCAAAAGAACAATTCTCTTATGTCCATTCAAATGTCCAGACATAGGTACATAGTACATATATACATGCATGCCAATGGATATTGTTTTCACAACTAAAGATGCTATTCATAATTATCCACGTTTGCGTTGGTATATCCAATATACTTGTGTATATCCAATAAATCGTAAAATATTTGTAGCGATTTTATCTTATATACTTTGGAATATTTTGGATCGTTTCTCATTGAATAGTTAATACGGATGTAAATATGCGAATAAAAATCATAAAAAATTAATATAAATGTACCTACATATACAATAAAAAACATTTTTTATTCTATCTTTATTAAATCTTTGTATTGAATATTTTTAACATATTCGAGTGTTAATTTCATATAATGTGATTATGTTGAATTTGATATTCTTGATTCTTATTAATTGAATTTTATATTAAATTAATATTCAACATTTTTTTAGTGTTAAAATAATACAATTTTTGAGTAAATAAACAAATAACATAAAAATAATGTATTTTATGTGTTTTAAATGCGTAAATTATTAAGATAAATGAATATATTAATAAAATGTTGAATGTTCATCACATTTAATCATATTTAATTCTGTGAAAATATTATGACTTACGAGAGATATAATTATAAATATTGTGTATTGTACTGTCAATAACATAAGAATGTTAATTTTACTGAAGAAATATTTCATAATTTGTTTCCAAATTACGTCAATATTATATATTAGGTGTAGTAAAAAGAAATCTATTATTTTTATTACACCTAATATTTCTTATGGTATTAATTTTTTATATAATATAAGTATTTGTGTCACTTTCTAATATTCATTATGTATATAAAATTAACATAAAAATTTGAATGGACCATTTAGGACATGTGAAATGTGAAAATTTATGTAAATTTGATACAAATTTTCTAACTGTATACTGTATATAGAAGGTGAAGACCAGAGTTCATCTGTGACCCGATTCTACCAATATTACTTTGACTTTAAGGGAAGCTTAAAATTTTTACTTTTTTTTTAAGAGAGAGAGAGAGAGAGAGAGAGAGAGAGAGAGAGTTTTATAAGTCTCGTTTAGAGTTAAAGTAACGTTATCGTACAATCGAGTCTGAAAGAATCATGTATAATTTAATAAAACTCTTTAGAGACATAATAAGATGTACGCTCGAGAATGACCCGTTGTGCGAAAACGTACTCCTTCCGAGAGCACTCTACACAACTTCAACAGAGCACCATTAGCAAACAAAAGTAACGGTTGGAAAATCTAGTACTCGCGGACCGCAACGTTATATGACTATGACGATACTGAACTTTACAGGGAACGAAACTATTTACATAATGGCACGAGAAGCTGCCTTGGGTGGTCTTCTTCTTTTTCTTCTTCTTAAAGCCCTTTTTTTATTTCCGACTCAATACAAAGAATAACAGTATCATGCAATAAAAAATGGATCAAAGATCCACTTATAATCTTTTTGGGGAGCAAAGGCTTCGCTTGTTCTAAACTTATATAATTACATTATAGTGTCGTATATCAATTCAAAATAAATACTCAAATAGACTCCTTTTGTATAATTCGCAATGACCTTAAGCCTTCTAATTTATCACACAGATAGAACAGCAAGTTTTTTAACTTTTAGACCGCCGGAAAACCGATATATCGGCTTGTCTTAATTTCATTATATAGTTAGCTTAAAACGCTATATTTGAGTTCAATTATACCATTCTGAATGTATTATACATGTAGACAAATCGCACTTCATCATAAAAAAAAATTATTTTATATACAAGCTATATAAAATTTCACAACAATAATGAGTGAAGAACCATAATATAAGTTTGTCATGGCTCATTCTGGAGAAAATTGATACATAAATTATAAATATAGTTTTTTTCATAACATATAATTGAAAAAAAATCAGTAAAACTAAAAAATAAAAAAAAAATAAAAATAAAAAAAAAATAAATAAAATTTTTAATAAAAAAATATCAAAAAACAGAAAAAATAAAAAAGAAAAAAGAGCTACTCAAACTTTTTACGTCCACATCATTAACTCTGGGTAAAGCCGAAGGAGAGTTCTATTCAAGATTTATTTTGTTTTACATGTAATAATGGCTTCGCATTCAAAATTATCATTTTCTGGTTTCACCATAGTATTTAGCGACCTCAAAAATCATTACATATGTATTATTTACAAATTTAAAAATTTTTAATTTTTTCCATAATCTTCCCCGCCAGAAAGCCGATATATCGGCTCCCGGGATGCACATATTTTTATTATTTTTCAATGAGATTTTAATAACCTTTAATGCCGACGATCTAAAGGTTAAGCATGACACAAATAGAATAGTCAACCACGTAGAAAACCGTATGTGAGGCGCGGATAGAATCGAACCCATAGATTATGAGTCCGTGGACCGAGGAACCACTCAATGCCTTGCCCAAATGGTCGACTCGCGATCTAAGGATCCGAGTTTGATTCCTCCTGCGATTCATATATCCTGCGGTTTTTCCACATTAAATATGGAGAACATCACTCTATCTGTGAAACTACAAGATAAATATTAGCGAATCTGCTTAAGGGACAATATTGCATTAGTTTATATTACTGATTAAGTCAAATGTGATTAAAAATATATAAAGACTTAAGACTTGGCCAGAAAAGACGAACTTCATATAAAAGGGATACTATTGATTGATACTAGTGATTTTTATATAAAGCGTGTCCTCTTCGAGGAGGATATACGCAAATTTATCGCATGGTATACACATGATGACTCTTCGTAGTGGGTCGGAAAACCAAACAAGGGATTTATTAAGAAGAACAAGAAGACTATTCACATGATATTTATCAGAATTCATCTGGAGCAAGCATGACAATGTATAGGATAAAGCATTAGGGAAATACGAGTTTATTCATTAGCAGTGAATTTTTCAAGGAATTGCAACTTTTTCGAGTAAAAAAGATGTATTTTCTGAAAAATACGCTATTGTATTCCAAGCAGAACAAAATATTATAATGACATCAAAATGATGTCAAAATGAATCTAAAATTATTAAGTCACTTTTTGATTAGTCACAATTCATTTTAATGGTTAATTGCGTTTAGAAAAAATAGCTTTACAACTGCAAGATTTTTTATTGATTAGTTCTTGCTCTTAGTTCCTTACTGATTCTAAAAAATTTATAAAACAATTTTCTGGTAAGAAAAAGTTAATAGAGAACGATTGAGAATGATAGGATTTTTATCAGTTTTTATCATTTTCCATTGTTGATCTCGCGAGCATCACGATTGATCGAATATGAATCCTATCATATTTCATCAGATTCTGTAAGATTTGTATACAAGATTCCTATAAAATCTGAATCAAATTAGTGAATTCACGTATCAGACTTCATATTCAAAAGGATTTTTCTATCGTTTTCTATCAACTTTTTTTACCAGGGAATTTAAATGTATATATTAAAAAATCTTACAACACACAGTTGTAAAACTTTTTCTTCTATTGAATACAATCAATATCATTTTGACATTCCCGGTTCTGCTTGGAATCTTCTTCACATTTTCTATCTCGAAAATTTATTTAAATGTAGGGCATTTCCATAAGTGTTATCTTAATGACGAAATCTCTAACACTAGACAATGAGACTCTAAATATTATATATAGTACGCTCAAGAAAAACATGTTTGACATCAGCAATGTGATTTAAAGATCTTAGCGGATGATCGTCTTTGTTCTCGTCTTAAGAACAAAGCCGGACTTTCTCTAGGAAGGCGTTCAACCTTTTAGAAATCTTTATTGCAATTTTTATGGATTATTACCTTGGCGATTATGATACCGCGGACAGTGATGCCGATCATCGGACTGAAACGAATCTCCACGCCGGATTCTATAATAAGTTTGGCGTCCTTTTCAATAAACAAATCCTCTCGCAGCAAGTAAGGACTCTTCGATCTCTCAAATACTTTTTGATTTCGAATAATGCGACCACCATGTTCCTCGAAAAGACCGCCATTATTCCAGCTGCTGTTTGCCTCGCTCTCGTTTACCGGTACTGTATAATAAATTGATGTTTGGTCGAATCTGTCATCTGGAAGAACTCCAGCCAGAACGGCCAGGATCGACAGCGAAATCCACAACCGTTGCATTCTTCGGTATATGCTTTCTATATCAGATAATTTAAATCGTCTTCTTTTTCTTCTTTCTCTCTGATTAGAGTAAAAAAATTTGGTTTCCCAGTTTAACGGAAATCCAGCTAGAATTCGATGAGACACTGAACTCTCTTACTGAACTCAGAGTTAGAATCCATCCACTGAATATATATATATATAGTCCTCAATTTATTATATATATATTAAATCTAAAATGGGAACATCACTTTTGAGAGATGGAACGTTCAAAAAGAATTGACGATTAGCGTAATTGACATTTTCGTAAGGAACTCAACGAGTAATTTTCACGCGATTTCTTGATACATTGGTTTACGACTTTCAAGGTAAGTGCGTATACTAGTTAAGTATTACGCAAACACACAAACCGAGATGCATTCGCGTTGACGAAGCTTCGCGAGAATCATCCGCTTATCGCCGAGCGATTCACGGACGCGTCATTCGTCGATCGGATTCATATATGAGTCAGAAGACGCCTTTCCTCTTCATGTCGCGCAACATCTGATACTTTCACTGGTCAAAGCGAGCTTTGGATGACAATTATCCGTTTCGAGAGACGCTTATTGCTCTTCCCGGTGCATTATCGTGACCGGCAGATCGTTTCTGGAGAACAATTGGAGAACTTTAACGAAACTATAAATGCTTCTCGAAACTTGCGATGTCTGACAGTAAATATTGCATGATATATAATAAGTTCTTAGAAGGAAGATTATTTATATTACACTATCTTTTGGATTTATTTCATCTTTTTCTTTTTATTCCTTTTACATCAGCAGTATTGTACAATAGCGATAAAGATTATTATTATTACTATTATTATTATTGTTATTATTATCATCAAATGAAAGAACAGAAAAGACAGTGAATCGAAAATTAATAAGCATTGTCGCTTTATTGTGATAAAGAAAAAAAGAGATTTAAAATGTTCTAAAAATATTACAAAATAATACTAAATCAAGTTTTTAAATTTGGCAGACGTAATTCGATAAATTTCGAGTCGATTTCTCCTTCGTAAAATTCTAATACGATCTCACTTTCCAATAATTTTTTTTTATTTTTGATAGTGTATTTTGTTAATCTTTCTCGCAAATGTTGTGATAATTAAAATAAATCATAAGATTTTATCATTTATGATTATCTTTAAAGTTTAATATTTTTCCTCTTTAATCGCTTGTAACATAAGGATTATAAATTCTTTTGATCAAAACTTGTGTGAATTCTTCATCGGAAGAAAATTTGAATAATAATAGTAAATCTCTCGTATACTTCTAACTCAAAAGACATTAAAGTCGAATTCCTCGCAGGGGCTTTGTGTTCTTTGTAACGATCCTCGATCGCATCGATCCGGCAACGTTGGCTGCTCGTTCAAATTCTCGTCGCAGTCTGATCATTCACCACTGGCTCGCCGCATACAACCTTTCATCAACATCTCGCCCTTCACGCACGTGTGTATGTCGCGTTAATCGAAGCGAAGCGAAGCAATGCGACGCGACGCGTAACGATGGACACAATGTGAAAACCGCTTCGTACTTAACGATGCTACCCAAGAAACGTCGCGAGATACGCACCGTTCGAATTCGAGCGATTTAAAATTCGAGCGTTAACCTCTGCTCGTTCAAATGCGAGGGAGCACGGCATCGACAGCAACGGCAACGGATTGTGCGCGTAACGCAGCCGTTACTCCGCTTGACGATTCCTCTCGTTTTCAGGTAAATCGCGCGAGCGCGGCCGTTCCTTTGCGTTTATATCTTGCATACGCGCCCGTTCGACTTCTCTGTCGTTCCTTTTCCAATTCTTTTTTTTTTTCAATTCCGTCAAGATCAAATTGATCGTACTCGATCTTGATGTGGATCCACGTTGATCTCCTTGAGTCATTGATGACGCTGATCGATCAATTATTCATTTAGTCTCGCGGATTCTCAAAAGCCTCTCGATCGCGGCGATCTAATGCCTTTGTCGATCGTCGATCACAGATACTCCAAATCTCTCTTCCATCTGGAGCTTCCTCGAATCGTGGGCGCGGTTTTGATCACTGTTTTATGCTTGCATATACGCGCACTTTTCATCGCGGTCACTCCCTTGTGCAACTCTCGTCACCGTCCCCTCACAGAGGCACTACGGCTACTACCGCGGTCGCCATGGTGCACTCACTGGTAGCGCGTTGACGCTACGCTACACCTACTACAGCCGAGACATAGAGCAGGTCACGTGACGTACCCGAGCGTATACGTCACGCAGGTTGTGAAACAGGTGAGTCCCTCCCAGCGTGATTGTACTGGCTCTCCTTGTTGTAGAGATTACTTCTCAACCGACTTTGGACTCTGATCGATTCCTTAATCCTGACATTTATGGTTTTCAAACAATTAATTTTTAAAGATTAAAGAGACTCCAACGAACTGAGCTTGCAGATGAATACCTAGTAAACATTAATTAAAAGTAACATAAATATTCATGTTAGTAATTCATATTCAATAATATAAATATAATATAGCACGTACAGGTTGTACATAGCAATGTTGTATGTTGCAATTAAAGTGTGAAATTATGACACTGATATTATGTTAAATTACTATATAGTATGTAGTTGGTGTTTACTGGGAAGGTGGGAGCCCAGATAACCAAGCGTGATTTAGCATATTGAGCAAACTGATATATTGTACGAATTGTCTTATATTAATTGACATACATTTACTGACATCAAAATAGAACACATTAAAAATGCAGCAATATAATTGCTTATGCATGTAATCAATTGACGAAAGTTCAAAAACAAACGATCGGTAATAGCGGTACGTTATGCTGTCGGCAAGATGACAGCAACATAACAAGAAATGATTAATCATTCCACCTTAAGCATTATAACAAAAATATGACGGCAACAAAGCATATATATATATATATATATATATATGACGATATCCATTTACTGTTGCGTATGTCTTCAAACTATGAAGTTTTTTAAGGAGGTTCTTTAGTAAAGTATCTAAAATTTGGGATGCTTCAACCAAGGCACCACCCAAAATTACAAATATTTGCATAATTTGAATAAAATATTAAAACTACGTGTATGTCTTATTGAAAAAGTATGGAACATACGATAGTAAATCAAGAGCTACATCTCCAACGAGAAAAAGATGAGATTTTGTTTACTTTTCGAGTTTAAATTTATATGCAAGTTTATTCATATAAATATCTTTTTAGAATGATCGTTGACCCATTACTTTTTTGTGAAAATTTGTTAAAATTCATTAAAATCGTAATTTTTTAAACTCTTATAATCTCGTTTTTGAGAACAGTCTATGCCCGTATATCACATAATATCAGTAATATCGCAGCAATATTGTAATATATTAGAAATATTACATATTACAGTGTAATATCATAGAAATATTACTATTATATTATATGTTGATAAATAATATTGAAATATCACAGTAATATTTTGTGATATGTCACAATAGTATTACTGAAATTTATCACAATAATATTGTGGCAATAAAATGTATTAAGGAGCAGAGTGATATATTATAGATTATAATAACGTTAAGAACTAATAGATAATTAATAACGTTTCTATGATGTCTACTTAACATTAAAGATGTCATTAAGACGTTAATTATTAAGTTATTACAAAATTATACGTATGCACACATGTAGACTAAAGACAGCTATAAAACTAACATTACTCTGATATTAAAACTTTAATTAATATATATACATTTATCATATCTATATATATGATTATATATTACTTTCAGTTAACTATCTGTATTGAAAATTTGATTCCCGTTACGTATACTACAGATTTTCAGTACTGATAGTCAACTGACAGTACTGAATATATGAACGTGGTCTGATAATACTATGGTGGCGGTTGATTATTCTATCATAAATATATACTTACATTGCTGGTTACAAATAAAAATAAAAATAAATATAAATAAAATGTGCTTATTGCTTCATTTATAATTACAGATGACTAGTTACTATCGAAAAGGAAAAAATGTTGACAAAGTTGTAAACAAAATAACGAGCCTAATTTTTACTAATTCTTTAGCATACAGCTATTGCAGTAACATATAAAATATTATAGCTTTATAAGCATGCATATTTATTTATGGAGCAATATAATAAAAAATTATAAATTTAATAATGTATTAGCCAAATACTTATGTTAATAATAAATTTATAGTAAATTTATTATTAATTAGTTAATAGTAAATTTATATCAATTGTCGATAATGTCAGCGTTCTTCAATTACCTCCGAGTCCTTTTTATACCATCGAAAATTTGCTCAAGGTTGACGGTCTTTAATAGTATCTCATCGGTGCCAATGAACATGTAGGAACTGTAAACTTATTGGTTACTGCTACTCATATTTTGCAGCGCGGCAAGTGCTTCCGCGTTCAGTGTGCGGAAGCCAATAGAAATTATAGTGTTTGTTGAAACATTTGTTGCCGCACGACAAGATTTTTCAAACTTTATAATCAACTCTCATAATTTTTTTTTAAATATATGAATTTAAAAAATTCTTTGAATATATGGCAAAGAAAAAATTAAATTCTTTAAAATATAATATGTTCTTGCGTGAGACATAGAAATTTACATGTATACACATACACACATGTTACTTTTAAAAATGCTATATTAATCTAAAATTATAAAAAAGCAATCGGGAGATGCCATATTAGATGTTTAATATAGTCAAATGTGAAACTACACAGTTAAATATGTAAGAAATTCACTAGATATATATTGTACAACAGAGATACCAACAGGGTCAGGGTTGTGTGATTCAGTGGCAGAGCGAAAGTCTACCAACTCGGAGGAGAGAATAGGCCTGGGATCGAGACGAGCTCTGATATTTTTCTCTGTTGTCGTCAGTTGTTAACAAATATATTAAATACAGAAAATTTTATAACAAAAAATATGTTTACGTTTATGAAAGTAGTACGTTTGATATGGCGTCTCCCGACTGCTTTTTTATAATTTTAGATTAATATAGTATAAATAGAAAAATATTTTACATCTTTATCTTTTGTTGCATGCGCACGCTCTCTATATCTTCCTTTTCTCTATTACATATGCGTCCATAAGGTTTATTATATTAATTCTTTATAATTAATATTATTTAAATTTTCTTTAAGCTTTCAATTTAAAAAACTCTTTTTTGTCTTTAAAATGATTTTATTTAATATTTAATTTTTAATTTTTGTTTCTGCTTGTTTTATTTCATACTTTTAAAAGCAACGTATGTGTATGTGAATTTCTATATCTCATTCAAAAACATTTTATATTTTAAAGAGTTTAATTTTTTATCTTTATTTTATCTTTATTTTTTAAAAAATTGGTTATTTTTTAAGTTTCTTGTCTTCATTAGTTTCTGAGTTTCATTTCGTTTCTTTTTAAAATTGTATTTCTTTATTTTATTTTTAATTAT